AATTCAGGATTGTGATTATCTGAGAAGAAAGAGAATGAAATGGGCACATGAAGAACTTCAAAGGTAACGATAATTTGTTTTTTAGTGAGTGGTGGATACGCAGATATTTTTTGGTATCACTTATTCTTTATAATTTACGTATATCTTACAAAAATTATTTAGATTCTTCTGTTGTGGAAGATTAAGATTTAGCTCACTTCATTGCTCCTGCTGCTGGCTCACATGCATACATATACGCGAAGACTTCTTGTTCCCTCGTGTTCCCAATATCAGTACTGTTGTCTACAACATAATGGCTATATAACCACTATGCACAGCTAAGCCATGGAGTAATCTATGATTAATTTACTTTTCCTGCATACCTTTTTGTTTCCTTTGGTTAATAATTGTCCTGTTTCTTTCATTTGCTTTTTTCTCTATGTACTTATCACCAGTTCAGCTTAAACACTCCATGACCAGTTGTCTAGAGTGACTCTGAGTGCTTCCAGAGCTACCAAGTGTTCCATCAATGTCATACCCCTAAGTTTGTCTGGAGCCGTCTGACCTGCTCCCTTCTGGGTGGATTATCCTCATTCCTGCTTGCGCAGTCACCATCCTGACATCTCTCTTCACCATCATTCTGAGGATTCCCTCCACTTCCTGCGTTGTTGGGTTCCCCATTTGCTTTCTGCCATGACTTCTTCCACATTTCATTGGAGCACATTCTTCCAGTGTTTAACTAAGAAAGAATGTAGGTCCATGGGAGGTAAATTTTTTGAGATTTTTGAGTATCTAAAAGTGTTTGTTATATCCTCGTCCTAGGTGGAGAGTTGAGCTTGGAGTAGAGTTCTAGGATGGACATTGCTTTCCCTTAGACTTTTGAAGGCATTGCTCCATTATCTTCTAATTTTCAATGTTCCTTTTGAGAACTCTGAATCTATTCTGACTGTTGATACTTGATATCAATTTTTTTCTGTCTGTAGCTTAGAGGATTTTTTCCCCTTTATCTCATACTCTCTGACATTTCTCAATGTCCCTTGATAAGGGGTCATTTTCACCAGTATTGCTGGCACTCGGTAGGAGATAAATCCCCACAGGGATAAGTTGCTCTTTTCTCATGCAAAGCCAAGATACTGCAAGGCTAGACAGCTGCAATTCAAGTCCAAGTGGCAGGCAAGGCTTTTTAAAATCCCTTTTCACTTTGTCTGTGGGAGATTCCAAATTAACCCACTAAAAGTATGCACATCAGGCCAGAAAATCATCAGCCTCTAATGGTCAGGCATCTAGACTCCCAGAAGAAAAACAGGCGTTAACTGCCCTGGCAGGCAAAATAGTCTTATCAACGTAGGGCACGTGCCAAAGCTGAGTTCCCAGACTCCAGCCAGGAGCCAGGCCTGCTCTTAGCACTGTCATGCCCCTCACCTTTACTGGGGTTCTTTATTTCTTCAGGTGGATTGGAGTCACCATCTAGTGTCCCTTCTTTCATGGAGCTAAGCTCCAAGTTAGGTCCAATAGTGACAGCACTCTGGGGATGGGGCTTTTGTTGGAGCCCCCCTGGGTTGCTGTGAGGCTGCCAGTTTTCACTGCTCCCCCACCATAGAGTTGGGGAGTCAGGGGTTTGGGGTGGGGGTGGGGGAGGGGTGAGTAGCACCCGGTACCACAGACTTGGCTGTTCTTACTGAGGTTCACTGGTTCTTCTTGAATAAATGCTTCTTTTTTTTTTTTTTAAAGATTTTATTTATTCATTTTTTCCCCCCCAAAGCCCCAGTAGATAGTTGTATGTCATAGGTTCACATCCTTCTAGTTGCTGTACGTGGGACTCGGCCTCGGGTTGGACGGAGAAGTGGTGCCTTGGGGCGCACCCGGGATCCGAACCCAGGCCACCAGCATCAGAGCGCGCGCACTTAACCGCTAAGCCACGGAGCCGGCCCGAATAAATGCTTCTTAATTTGTTGTATGCCTTTGGTTAATTTCCAAAGTCTTGAAATGATGGATTTTGATAATTTTGCCAGTATTTTCATTGTTTTTATGGAGGAAAGGATTTACTGGGGTCCTTACTCCACCATTCCAGAAGTCTTGCCTTAAGGCATTTCTCTTACAACTGCAGAAAAGTGCAGAAAATCATAATCATAACAAATACCCTTGTACTTACCTCCCAGAATTAGCAAATGTTAACATTTTGTCATTGGTAGTGCTTTTTTTTTTAATAAAAGAAATAGAGGTTTACAAATAAAAGTGAAGCCCCTCATTTCCCCCTCCTGAGTCCTGTTCCCCTCATTCCTTCCCCAGGCAAACAATATCATGAATTTGGTGAGTATCGGTCTAATCCATGTTTTTATACTTTTACCACACATATTTGTATCTGTAATCAATATAGCATTCTCTTTGTAAATTTACTAGATTAGTGCCCTCAAACTAAAGCAGTCTTTCTACAACTTCCTTTCTGTATTCGGCATTGCCCTTTGAAGTTTACCTATGCTGATATGTTAGATTTAGTTCATTCATTTTAACTCCTGTATAGCACTCCAACATGTGAGTATCGCAGTCCATTAATCCATACTCTGTTGGTGGGCATTCAGTTGTTTCTAGTATTTTGTTGCCATTCTTTGGCATTATCCTGGTTCCCATTTGCAGAATTTCTCTGTGGTATAACTGCAAGTGGAATACAGTAGGGTGTGTACATTTTCAACATTACTAGATGTATTACCTTTTTTCTCTCATAAATGGAATGAATTTACCTTGTATATTTAGGAGTTTTGTATCTTTGTAAGTGAAATTGCTTTATAATATTCTCATCCTATGCCCTTATTTGCTTTTGGCATCAGGTTTATTCTGTTTTGTATAATCATTGTTTTACTACTATTCTTTTGATTAAGTACTAGATATATCTCTTTCCATAATTTTATTTTCAACATTTCTCTCTCATTTTTCTCTAATTGTCTCTTGAAAACATAGAGCTGATTTTTTAAATGCAATTTAATATGGTTGGCCTTTAATTAATAAGGTAAATATATATTTATTGTGCTATGACTATATTAGTATTTCTTCTTTTATTGTATTTTCTATATATCCTATTTTTTCTTTACTTTTTTCCTGTCTTTGCTGAATTTTATTTACCCTTACCCTCACCCTTTTCTCTTTTGGTTATTTTCCTCCTGAAAAATTCACGTACCAAGTGTTATTCTTAACCAGGCTTTGTATGTGGCAAATTGTCTGTCTTTTCTTGTTGAAAAACATCTTTATTTTGTCATCTTTCTTTGCCACAACTTATCTGGGAATAGAGTTCTAAGATGACAGCTTCTCTTAGGACTTTGAAAATATTCTTTAAGCTTTTGGTTTCTTTTTTTGCTGATGAAGTCGGATGTTAATCTAATAGGTGATTTTTAAAATTTCTCCACAGTAGCTTTCAATACTTACTTTCTGACTTTAAAGTCTTGTGGTTGCTGCACTGAACTGTGTCTTAGGTACAGATTTGCTTTTATTTACCACACTCAGGACTCTTGGCATTCAGTGATAGGATGCCTGAATTTATTCCATTCTAGAAAACTACCAGTCATCTTCTCTTCAAATATTGACTAGATGGGGGATCCCCAAGACCACTACCACATTCAGAGATTCTCAAGAAGGACTCACGGAACTCGGCATATAGTTGTATTTACAGCTACAATTTATTACAGCGATGTAGCAAGGATATACAGCTAGATCATAAGGGAAAAAGACACTAGCAGAGTCTGGAGGAATTCTTGTATAGGATTTCTTACGCTCCCTCCCTCCCATCTAGGGTCACACAGGGCACGCTTCTCCCAGCAGTGAAAATCCAGCAACATGTGTATGATGTTTATGCCCAGGGAAGCCCATTAGACACTCAGTGCCCTCGGTTTTTATTGGAGGTTGGCCACATACACAAACTCTGCCTAGCACATACCAAAATTCCAGGCTCCCAGAAGGAAAGGAAATGTTCAATATAAATCACATCGTTTGTACAAGCAGCCTTTTCAATTAGGGAATCATGGGGACATTTCTGAACTCCACATTCCCAGATGTCAGCCAAGGGCCAACCTTGCCAGCTGGCTTTCTAAGTATAGCAGTCTCAGGGTTGCTCTGTTAACCTTTTCTTGGTATATTGCTCCTCTCTCTTCTTTTCTGTTCTTTCCATTTGGATTTTCTATTAAACCTATGTTGGAACTTATCATTTCTCTATTTCTCTTATCATATTTCCATTTTGTTAGCTCTCTATGCTACATTCTGGGTGATTTCCCAAGATCTATCATCTAATTCATTAAATCTGTCTTTTTCTGTGACTAGTCTACTGTTCAGCCTCTCTATTTAGAGTTTTTTTAATAATGCCTATATATTCTTTTATATTTGTTTCTTTTTACAGATTTTCCTGTTTTTTTCTCCCATTGTCTAGTTCTTACCCTATTTCTTTGAATATTTGAAATATATTTATTTTAAAGTCCAAATTGTTCTATTAGCTATAGTTCTAGGAATGGGAGTATCTTTAAATGTATCTTTTAATTCTCTTTCATGATGGTTCATTTCCTTGTGAGGTTTTTAATTTTTTATGGTGAACTCTTCAGTGAGAGTTGGTTTTCCATGGAAGTTCTGTGAGCGCTAAGCTATAAAAACATAAGACTATATCTTTTGGAAAGTTTGCCACTGCTAGGAACCTCCTAATAACAGGACCAATTTTTATGTTAATTTTTCAGCTTATGGGCTCTGTACGATACTTATAATCATTTGCATTGAGTTAGAGAACTAGGCTTTGATTTCTTCTATATAATATCCTTATTTCCAATTTCTTTGACCAGTGGGGAGTCTTTCTAAAGCTCCCCTTTAACAAGCATGGAAGCCACTTTTAGTTCCATCTTTAAGTGGAAATTACATTCCAGTTTTCTGAAAATTTGTGCCCTGTGGTCTGGATTCTGCTGCAAATAATCAGGCTTCAGTTTCTATTCACCCCATCACTTTAAATTCCCTCTTCATTTTTGACACCTAATAAATTTCTTTTCTTGGTTTAGAGCTTTACTCTGTATTAAATTGTTTTTGTTAAATATGGGCCACCATGTCTTTGTATTTGCACTCAGAGGAGGTGGCGGGGGGGCATGGAGATAGGCCATCCACATCAGCTCAAGTCCTATTGATAGGAGTTCACAGCAGGGCATTTATGAATTAGTTTTATCTCATAACATTATAGGAGAAATATTCACATGTTTGATGATTCATTGCATTTTTTTTCCTAGAATTCTGGGAAGTTGATGACCAGATGGATAACCACAAGGAAAGCCAAGGCAAACCTCTGTGGAAAACTGCATTCATAGACAAGGAAGCACTAAAGGATGAAAGTGGCCAAGAATTCAGAACATGCAGAAAAATCATTTATCTGAGCCCAGACTTTGTTTCTACAAGACAAAGACTCCCTAGATATTATTCATGTGGAAGGTATTCAAAGCATAATTTAAACTTTCTTAGTCAAAATAGAAGCTATGTAAGAAAGAAAGATGATGAATGTAAGGCATATTGGAAATTATGCTTCCATTCCAATCTTGATAAAGCTCAACCTGGAGAGAAATTCTTTGAGCCTAGTCAACGTGGAAAAGCCCTCCATCATAAGCAAGACCTTAATAAAAGGGAGAGACTTCTAATTGGGGAGAAACTCTATGAATGTTCTGAATGTGGAAAAGTGTTTATCCAGAAAGCAAACCTTGTTGTACATCAGAGAATTCACACAGGAGAGAAACCTTATGAATGCTGTGAATGTGCAAAAGCCTTCAGCCAGAAATCAACCCTCACTGCACACCAGAGAACTCATACAGGGGAGAAACCCTATGAATGCAATGAATGTGGGAAAACCTTTATTCAGAAGTCAGCTCTGATTAAACATCAGCGAACTCATACAGGAGAGAAACCATTTGTATGTGGTGAATGTGCAAAAGCCTTTAAGAGTTCATATCACCTTATTAGACATGAAAAAACACACATCAGACAGGCATTTTATGAAGATATCAAATGTGGTAAGTCCAGCCTTATGCATCAAAGGACTCATACAGGTGAGAAACCTGAATGCAGTAAACATGGGAAAGCCTTTGATGAGAAGACCACTGCCATTAAGCAGCAGAGAACTCATACAAAAGAGAAACCTTATGAGTGCAGTAAATGTGGCAAAAGCTTCAGGGGAAAGTCACACCTCTCTGTTCATCAGAGAATTCATACAGGAGAGAAACCCTATGAGTGCAGCATATGTGGGAAGACTTTCAGTGGAAAATCACACCTCTCTGTCCATCATAGAACTCATACAGGAGAGAAGCCTTATGAATGCAGGAGATGTGGGAAAGCCTTTGGTGAGAAGTCAACCCTTATTGTACATCAGAGAACTCATACAGGAGAGAAACCCTATAAATGCAATGAATGCGGGAAAGCCTTCAGTGAGAAGTCACCACTGATTAAACATCAGAGAATTCATACAGGAGAGAGACCCTATGAATGTGGTGACTGCAGGAAAGCCTTCAGTAGGAAGTCAACTCTCATTAAACATCAGAGAATTCATACAGGAGAAAAACCATACGAATGTAGTGAATGTGGGAAAGCCTTCAGTGTGAAATCAACTCTCATTGTACATCACAGAACTCATACAGGAGAAAAACCTTATGAATGCAGGGATTGTGGGAAGGCCTTCAGTGGGAAGTCAACACTCATTAAACATCAGAGAAGTCATACAGAAAATAAAACCTATTAATATACTTGAGAGTGGGATAATTTCACTACTAGTTATACCTCATTATACTATATATCAGTTCATCCTGGGGTTCACCTTATAAATATCAAGTTCACCTTATAAATATCATATCAGTTCACCTTATAAATATCAAGAATGTCAGAAACTCCATATATTATTTAATGTTCATTTAACTTAATAAAAGGCACAAAAGTATAATTCCAGAAGCATGTTGATCAAGTTTTCACCCAGAATTCTTACCCATGAGTGGAGAATTGTACATCAAAGAATTCAAAAGTGGCAAAACTGTGAGTGTATTGATGTGAGAAAACCTTTAGAAAGAATTTAAATGTCATTACCTATCAGAGTATTTATGCTGAGGAAAAACTAAGAATGAGTTTAGGAAACCATGTTAGAAATTATGAGACAAATGTGTTCCATACTCTATATCAAATATTTTGTGGGAAAGGTGCAGAGGTTGCAAACAAGGACTCAGTTATAAAGTTAAGATATGTTCTCTGTGGAGTAGAGTATGACATTTTTTGAAAGAATAGTATAAAGCATAAAATATTAATCCTAGCTGGGGCAAACTCCTAGGTTATTTCTTAAACAAATAGAAAAATTGCTTTCGTAAATAGAGTGAGAGAGGATGAATCATCAGGATCCCTGAAACAAAGGAGCTCAAACAGAAGATCTTACACATCTTCAGTGCAAAAATGCAAACCCCTTACAGAAAAGGCATACCTCACTTAGGAACAGTGCTTACAATTTAATATTCTTTGTCTTGTAAGGAAGAGTAATCATTTTATGGTGAGGCAATAAAATGTTTTTAATTTTCAGAGTATCTCCCATAACACCAATATTATTTAGATTGCAAAAAATAGAAGGACATTGAATATCCAATAATACACAATTGATTAAAAATTGATATATCAATAAGGTGGAATAATATGGACCAATTAAGAATTTTCTTTGGGCTGGCCCTGTGGCTTGGTTGTTAAGTGCGCGCGCTGCGATGCTGGTGGCCCGGGTTCGGATCCCGGGTGCGCATCGAGGCACCACTTCTCCGTTCATCCTGAGGCCGAGTCCCAC